CTCTCTCTCTCTCTCTCTCTCTCTCTCTCTCTCTCTCTCGCTCCTCTAGTTACTCCAGGGCCAACATTTGGCAAAGTTGGGCTGCAGGAGAACCAACCAACCAAACAAAGAACTCAGTTCAGAGCTACGTGAATTGTGGGACTGATTGTCTTAGCTGCACTATTTTATTTAAGAGGGGGAAAATAACAATAATGTCCATAAGGAATCAATATGTAGTTTTTAAGAGACAATCAGTGTGTGTCTTATATAAATGGTACATCTTGTGGTTTTTAATCTGTGCTAGACTTTAAAACTGTGATCTCTCGTATTGTATGCAACGATGAACCCCCACACCAACAGGGGCTTTGCTGTGATTTTAAATAGGTTATAATTAACAGTGAAATTTGAGCAACTGAGTTACATATGACCACCTCTTTCTTCCTCTCCGTTTTTTTAAAAAATGCCTTTCACCAGAGGTAAACTGCACTGAAAAAAAAAAACTTTTTACAGCAACTGTCTCTGAACGAATGAACTGCCGAGATTTAAAAAAAAAGATCAATAAATAAAAATCTACAAGGACTTTTAAATTCACTTATAACACAATAGCCTACTGTTAGGAAAGCTAGCAGTAAGGAGAAAAACATATATATTTAAGACATCGGTTAATTGCTCTGACTTTGAAATTCCAGACAGAGAAAATCACTGTTGTTTTTATGCTTGCAGATGTGAAATTGAGGGGGGGAAATATATATGCATAAACCTTTTCTTTTCTGGATTTGGCAAATATGTATAATTATATTAAAATGGTTCTAGCACAAGCGATGGTTATTGTCTTCCCATGTCCTCGTAAAGGAGCTTTTTAGACTTTACTCCCAGGCGTGCCTACCGGGGAGTAAGGCCCGCTGAGTTCAGTGGCGTTGACTCCCGAGAAGGTACATCTATGACGCCCACGCTTAGCGCTCCGGTTGCTTCCGTGGGCTGCCCGGTTTCAGCGAGGCTTCCCTGCAAGGCCTCATCCCCACTTTCCGCGGGGCTCCATTTCCACTCGAGACCGGATCGCTTTCTGGAAAGCAGAAGCCAGTTTCTGCTTCTTTCTGGAGGGCGAGCTGAGAAACCGAGCTCGGTTTCACCCAATGGATGGAGAAATGCTGTCGAAGATCCAGCCGAAAGCTGGTGGGGATCTTGGGTTTTTTGCTTGGCGTTTTTGGTCGATTAATTTAGGGGCTGAAAGGGAGAGGGAGCGCCTAAGCGGGGGGGGGGGGGGAGAGAGAGAGAGACGGGGGCGCTCAGGGGGCATTTGAGCAGTTCTCCTAAACTTTCTAAGAAGGGATCGGGTGTTCTGAGATAGGAGGAGTAACCACGCAGAAGTGATGGAGGTACAAAGGGGATTGGAAAAGTTTCTGAAAGCTATGATTTCTACAGCGGGGCACAAAAGAACTTTGCTCCCCCCCCCTTTCTTTTTCTTTTTCTTTTCTTTTTGCTCCTCCTCCCCCTTGACACTGCTAGAAAAATCGTTTCCTTTTTAAAGGGAGAAAATCGAGTTCCTGGATTTCTCCAAGAACCCCCCCCTTTTTTTTAATAGGGCGATGTAGAGAAGTAAACAGTTTGGGGTCAGCACCACAAGAAACTAAAATACGAGAGTCTCCTATTAATACTTTTTCCAAGAGATTCCCAGGGTTTTGTTTTTTCTTCTTTTTTAAATCCTCCCTTCCCGATGGCTAAATATTATGTGCATCTCTCCGGAAAACGGACCCCTCCTCATTTTTTGCTATGCCTTTGGGGTTTGAAAGTCAATAGGTTTTGTTAGAACAACTGAAATTATTATTAATTATACACATACCAGAATCAATGCCGGATTTTTACTTTTTCTTTGATCCATTAAAGTACAAACCACCGACTAACCAAGGAAAAGCGCAAGAGGGATCGAAGGGGATAAAACCCGAATATCTGTCTTTAAGGTGTGTGGGCTGCGCTGGGACACAGAAGGCGTTTAAAAGGAAGCTCGTGCAGAAACCTTTGAAATAAAAACAATTTAGCAGGATCCAAGGGAGCGAAATGCTCCTCTTAAAATTGTTTACACGGAGAAGTTTTCTAAACTGGACTTCCAGCTGAGTTTTTCGCATGACGCTTCGGGGCTAGTATATTGGGAGGGGGGTCAGTTTTTGTATGCGACGGTGGGGGTGACTCCCAGGCAAATTTAGACTCGATATTGCGATAGCCCTTTGTACCCCGCTCGCTCCCGCACCCGCCCGGCGCTTCGCTCTTCGGTTTTTGTTCCTCGCATCCCACTGGGGGGGGGGGGGGGTGCGGGGAGGGGGCGGCGGCTGAAGAGCCGGGATTCCCTTTTCTTTGAAGAAATGGGAATTTATCCTTTGGGTGGGTGCGTGCCCCGAAAATTCGAAGCCAGATTATCCTCTGCAAATAAGCAAAGATCTGAAGATCAGATTGCAGATACGCGGAAGCTCTTTCTTTTTCGCGGGGGGGGGGGGCGGGGGGGGGAGGGGGGGGAGACGTGAGTGGGTTTCGAGAGAACGGGGAGGGGGCGCCCCAAAAGACAGAAGGTGGCGGTCAATAGGCTCTGATCAAAGGGAAAGGAAGTTTCTTGTCTACTAAACGGCGAGATTAGAATTAAACGTGTGTATGAAGATTTCGGACGGAGGTGGCCTGGATTGTCTGGGGGAACTGGGGGGGTGCAAATCCACTGAGAACTTTTCTCTCCCCCACCCCCCTTGGCTCTCCCCCCCCCGTCTCGCGTGGGAAAGGATACCCCCCCCCCCCCCCCGAAGCCTCTGCGGTTCTGGAAACAGCTCGAAAGCCATCGATGCCTAGTAGCCAACGTGAGTCCTACGCAGAGTAGACGCATTGACGAAAATGGGTCTGGACAGCGTCATGGCTAACTGAGGCCCCATTCGTCTCAGTGGGGGCTCCCCGGCACCTTTCCCCGTTCCTTGCGAGCCTCCGGGGCCTCTTCGCTTGGAAGTAAGCCTCGCAGCTAAGGGCCATTCCGAGACCGTGGCCCGAGGAAGGCTCGCCACCCTTCTGGCCCCAAAGCCCGCTGCCCGGGCACGGGGGGAACCAGAAAATCGCCCCCTGCGCTTCCCCGCAAGGTTGCTGCTCACTGAGAATGCAAGTCGGAAGCGATACGCGCGCTGCCGCGTTCATTTCGCAGGCGCCTAACGCGAATCAAACAGGTGACTGGCTTGTCTTTGAACGAACCGGGGGGTTGCTGTTTTCCCTCGACTTGTGTTCCAGGGGGCCCCCACATTCCCTTTTGTGGACTTTTGTCCATTCTCCGGGGGCTCGGGCGGCTAAAGGGGGAGAAAGACGGGATCTGAATTGTTAGATGGAGAGGAGAAACGACTTCAGCCATTTTCGGCCTGAGTTCCCGGTGGGCGGAAGGCAGGCTGGCTGGCTGGACGTCGGGTCTCCCCCCACCCAAGGAATTTGCTTTGAGTCCCAGAACAGGACAGTCTTTCCGCGGACAAACCTGCTTTCCACACCCCCAGGCAGCCTTCGCTTCAGGAGCAGCGTCTGGGCGAAGGAGGGCAGAAATCTTTGCCGCGAGAGAGACCCAGGTCTGGCCCTACCCGGACGCACCGGCAATTTTGATTCTAACCCAGCGCGCCGCGGAATTAAATGCGCAAGGAATGATTTGGAGCAACGGAAGGACGATGGGTGTCGCCCACTTGAAGCCAAGCGGCTTAAAGAACTTGAGCAGCGTCCTTGGAAGGGGAAAAGCGCTGGCTTAAGTTGACAGGATTCCCCTTTCACTTGGGAGTAAACCCCTCCGACCCGAGTGAGGCGTACTTCTGGGCAAGCGTGGATGTTGGCTTTCTCCGTGATCGCCCCGCGTGCAATGATAGTTAAAATATGTGGCACGGTCGTGAGCGATGCACGCGCGCTTCTCCCTCTCGTGCCCGCGCTCATACTTGTGCAAAGGGATGCGAAGGCAAAGAGCTGAGGCCTGGATCCTGAGCGCCCTTACTCGAAAGTAAACCGCATCCCAAACAGTCCCGTGCCGTGGGATGCGACTCAAGGGCGTCCGTGCGCGTTGGAGGCACTCGCTTTGCTTTGATGTACATTATTCGAAGCAAAGAGCATTGTCTGGGCGAACGCATTTCATCTCGATTTCTTCAGAAACGACTTCCCCCTCCTCCTCCCCCCAAGCCTGGCCGGGATGACTTTTTTGGGGGCCGCGGGGGCTTGTTTTGCGCGAGCTGATGCAGAAAGTGCAGCCGCCTGCAGCCGGGTCGCTTGCCAGCCAAAGCCCGTCTTCCCAACTCCTTTAAAGCCGTCGTGCCGAAAGCGGCGGGGGCTAC